TCGTGGACGGTTCGTGGACTGGTGGGCCAGTAGGAGAACTGACTGCAACGAAATCCCAGAAACCTTTGCAGGACTTCGTGGAAGGTATTTTTGATGCACTAACTTCGTATCAGCGATTTTTGCTGACCCCCTTTCTCCGCACACCCTCCATTTAGCCTTCACTTAAATCAGGGTCTCGAATTTTTTGTTCTGGAGAAGGGAAGAATGATACCTCTTCGACGGATCAGGACATGTGGCAGAAGCTGGATGCGCTTTTCTTCTCGCTCTGTATATATGAATAATATTGGTATATGAATAGACCTCCTGTATCTATAACTCTCTGGTTTCTCTCGTGGTATAGCCTTCTATATGATATCCTCGACGGTTCCTCTATTCATACGGTCTCCATTTCTCCTTTTACTGTTTTTGATCAGAAAGAGGAGATGCTTTAGGAAAGCCTAGGGGGGAGAGAGAAGTTGGAAGATTGCGCAGTAACCGTATTGCGGGCTCGGGTTGAGGGGCTTGTGAGAAGCAAAGCGCAGGCTATGGACTATATATGGGATGTTTCCAAAATTTGGCCCGTGCGCATTAAATGCTCCAAGCTGGCTCCAATAGTTCAATCAACGCCCAGGTAGGAGACTACAGCTGTTTGGGGCAGGGTAAGAAAGAGGTCGTTTTGGACGTGCGGCGGAACTTTTGCAACCAGCGTGGCATCTGAGGATCATGCTGCGGAGCCACCTTCTCGGATCCTATGTGTGCCTTTTGCTCTTTTTTGCGGTCGAAGGTGCGGCGCCTGCCTCGACAGAGATCATCATTGTAAAAGTATTGAGCAATTAGGGCAAAGCTTGCAGCTGCAACGAGTGCTTAGAGTAATTTGACAACAAGAATTTGGAACCCAAGTTGAAAGTATAGACTACTTATTACTTCACGAGAAACTGGAACTGGCAATTGACTATTAGTTAGACTAGAATGGGTGTCTAAACTATTAGTCAGAAAGGTCTATTCAACTAATCGTTTAAAAGATTAGAGAAACTTCGGAAACAAACCACGGAAACAGTCATCTGCGATGAGGCTCCAGGATTGACTCTGTGGGCCCTATCGATTGTGGCTTGGCGTGAGCTGCTCGGCGTGGTCAGAGATGGGGGCCTGTGGGTTGGCGAGGCTTCCGCCCTTGGTGCAAACCCTTCCGTTGTCCCCCCTGCCAGAATTGAATTGACCACCCAGAAAGTTTCACGACCTATAGGTCCTATAAGATGTCAAATTTTTTGAGCAAGGAACCCTTCTTGAGTCTCAAGCCCCCATCCCGAACACAAGCTACAGGACCTTTGGTTCGGGCTTTCCGTTGACGCTTGAAGAAGTGGGGTTTGGTGGCTGGCTAGGGTTTAGATCAAATTCTGTTTTCATCGCAGGTGTTCGTGAGACAAGTTGGTATAGAGAGCTGACAGTTGGCCAGAGCAAAACAGAACTTTCAGCTAACCAACAAGGTGCCATCGCGCACACACACACAAGGACAGCTAGGCTTAGGCCAACAAAGCATTTTTTTTGGCACGCAATTGTTGATCGCGGCCATTGGAAGATGGCGCGGTGACCGGACAGCGCAAGGCGTTGCGTGTTCGTTCTTGGAACGCCAAGGGTTGCGACTGTGGACCAGGGGATGTTGCAAGTTTCAAGCGTGTGCGCTTTAAATATTTCGAGCTGGCATTGATTGTTGTTGGAATGTTGAGAGCAGTGGAATGGCTTTGGGGTGGTGAATCAGGAAAGTGTTGGCAATGGTCAAGCTTCAATCAGGTTGCGCCTCAGGGTGTTTTGGCCACGGAAGGCTCGTTCTGGACATGGTCTCGAGCAAGACCAGGCCGGATCTTCAGCGCTTAGTCTCAGAAAGAAGTCCAAGGAGCTTTCTATACAGCCCAACCAGGTTGGATAGCCATAGGCGATATTGCAAGATGCTTCAGTGGAATCCTCCCTTTCCTGGCCGATGCTTGGCACTGGCTCAGTGATTCATGTGGTGAAATGCAGGTTTAGCAGCTGTTGTGACTTACAATGCTTCATACTGGCTCCAGTCACAGGTTGTGAGTTGAAGAAGAAGAAGAAGAAAAGTCCAGAAACCAGACTGCGCAAGGCGTTTGCCAATTCCTGAACCACAATGGTTTTTGGACCGTCGCTGGCCCAGACGCTGTTGAATTGCGAGTGCATGTTTCAAGCAGGCTTTTGGAGGTAGTGGATAAGAGTCCTTGGCTTGAGTTGCTCCACGCTGCATTGTTTGAGACATCTGGCTCGAGTGCAGACTTCAGTTTGTGCATTGGCATTGGCAGCATGAAGGGCTTTCTGGTGACCAAGACAAGCTGCAGGCAGATCCAGGCTGGGCCCGATGGTTTCCTCACCTTTGCTCCGACGTTGGGTGAGGCGATTGCAGGGGCTACGAGGGGCGACGGCCGGCAGAACCTTGGTCAATTGCTTGGTGTGCGTTTGGTTTTGTTATTTGATATTTGGCTTGGGCAACAATTCTTCGCTAAGTCACAACCTGTGGTCAGGGCTCCTCAGCCAAGGTTGGGATTCCGCTTCAGTGACAGCGCCGATGTCAAGAGTAGCGCGTGGCGCAAACGGCACGCGAAGCCCGCTGCGGACTTGGTGTCGGAGCGCACTGTTGGCGTCTTGGAGTGCAGCATCGCCAATCCACAGACAGCTATCCAGTCAGGGTTGGCAAAGTGCTTCGCGGGTGGCTTGCGAGTGGCCCGAAGTGCATATGTTGATGCTAAGAAACATGGCCAGCCACAGAACATTGCCTTCACAGAATACGAGGCGACGCTCAACGTCAAGTGGGGTCTGGCGCCCCAGACAGAGGTGGCTTCTGCTTCTTGGCGCTTCTTCATGGTGGAGGACCAGGGCACCCACGCCCTATGCAAGGATGTCCTTTTGAGGAACCTTTTGGTGAGCCTTCCTGATGCGAAGCAAATTTTCCTGAGTGAAGTCTCCACGATGGCGCTGCTGGCTTTCATTGTCTCGGGCGGAATGCAGAATGAGTTGCTTGGAAGATGTGTAGAAAAGCTTTACATTTTATTCTCTACCCATGCAAGTACATTGCGCCAGTTGAATTGCTACGCCTCTGTTGCTCTTCACTTAGTGCGGTGTTACAGCAACAATTTAGTTGACAATGGATGGTTCAGCCAGATTCAAACAGGTTGCGACTCACAATGTTTTTGCAATGCTAGGTTCGTTCTGGACATGCTCTCGTCCGAGACCATGCCGGATCTTCACTACTACGACCGTTCCAAGAGTGTCATTGGTGACTTTTGGTGCCAAATTGGCGACCTCGGCCCTGACTTTCAACGCAGCAAGGTGCAAGCAGTGATCGACATCTCAACCACAAAGCCTTTGACGCCCTATGAGCTGTTTCGGGCATGCCGGCGCGATGTTGAATTGCAAGAGCTCCAGTTTCTGAAAGTGAAGCTGCTGGAGAAGGAGGCAGAATTCAACGCCTTGAAATCTGAGCACGACAGGCTGGCAGAGATGCTTGATGCACATGAGCCAGCAAAGCCGCTTGACGCAGTTGAGCCAGCTGCAAAGAAGGGCAAGATGCTTGATGCAGGTAAGCCGGCAGAGCCGCTTGATGCAGGTAAGCCGGCAGAGCCGATTGATGCAGGTGAGCCAGCTGCAAAGAAGGCCAAGCTGGCAAGTTGAGAGTTGTGTTCGAGGTTGCGCGGGGCTCATGTCGATGCCTCCGAAGTCATTTTTTGCAGAGACCGCTTCAGGTCCATGTGCCATCAGTTGGGTGCACAGTACAGTCGATAGCCGCTGAGCACCAAGGCGAAAATTTGAACCTTTGATGCGCGAGATAGGATGCGCGAAGAGAGGTCCCCCAGTCAGCAGGCCAAGGGAACTACCAGCCTCTAATTAAAGGTTGCGTGGCGCATTTTTTAGGAGGGCACTTCGCAAAGATTTTTCAGGTTCTAGACGCTAGACCTTTTCAGTTGTCGTCGCGAGCTCGCGCGACATGACTGGCAGACCGGCTGCTGCTAGACGTCGAAATGCAAGTGCTTGACCACATTCCGTTTTCGCCTCAGGCCTTTGGCAGATTGGCTGCTTCCGATGCAGAGACCTCAATGCCTCGTGTCAACTCGGTGACGGCGGCCTTGTTTTCATAGAGCTCTCATTTTTTCCTTGAAGTGTTTTTGTCTTAGCTCCGTCTTTCTTGGATGGGCGCACTTACTTGTAAATCTATCAGGACATGCCCTGCTTTTGGGGGGCAACTACTCCTGTGAACATATGGAGTCCGGCCAAAAGTCTATAATCAAAAAATAGATATAGGGGTCGAAAGTAGCTTATGATGTTGTTTTTTCATTTAGATTATGTAGCGGGCCCCCCAGCTAAACACACCCATTCTGCAGCTGGGCGCTAGGCTTGCGGTAGATTTGTGATAGTGACGCTAGTGTTTGCCTTAGGACATGTTCAGACAGTCGTCAGGTTTTTGAAAACTGGCTGGCTGAAAAATGTGCTACCCACGCACTAGCACTACGCTAGATCCGCGCTAGCAAACATTGCCAGGTTCCAGCGTGGACCCTACCAAGGCTGACTTGCAACATGTCTTTTGTTTCAAGCATGGCTTGAAGCTCGGAGATCAGCTGAAAACGGTGCAGCGCTAGTGACGCTTCTTACAACTTGGCGCCAATACTTGTTTGGTCCATGTTTCCTTCATTAACCAGCTGTGTGTGCCAAAAGTAAAGAATATGTAGCGGGCCCCCATGTGAACACGACTTTCGGCCATTTTTGGAAGAAGACATTTTGACCAGATCCCATATGTGTTCTGTAGTTGGCTCACTATATCGCTGTATCAAGCCCCACAAACTGACTGTCCAAAGGTTCCCTTTTGAGGTGCCCTTTTTTGGTTCCTTAGGGGGGGCTTGACGCGTTGAAAAAGGGCACCTTAAAGGCTTCCCTTGCCGAGTCTTCCACACCTTTTTGAGCAGTCGACGTGCGTCAGTGCATAGAGTGTATACGCATACATGACTTACCCACACAGCTTTTTTTTGCGCAAGACCACGTTCCAGCGCTTGCGCTGGGCAAAATGCATTTTTCCGGCCCAGGCCCTTGGCGGCTTCACTTTTCCTTCTGCAGAGACGCAGAGACCTCTGAAGGCGCACGTCGATCCAGCGGCGCACATATTTGTTCTGAGTTGGCTCACCGTTTCAGTATCAAGCCCTAACAAAATGATTGCCCAAAGGTTCTTATTGGAGGTGCCCTTTTTTGGGTTCCTTAGGGGGGCTTGAAGCGTTCAAAAAGGGCACCTTGCACAAAGGCTTCCCTTGCTGAGTCTTCCACACACCTTCTTGAGCAGTCGATGTGCGTTACTCATTCAAGCGCGTAGATTGTATACGCCGACTTGCCCACACAGCTTTTTTGCGCAAGAAGACGTTCCAGCGCTTGCGCTGGGCAAAATTCATTTTTCTGGCCCAGGCCCTGGCGACTTCACTTTTCCTTTTGCAGAGACGCTGAGGCGCAGAGACCTCTTAAGGCCCACGTCGATCCAGCGGCGCACAATTTGATCTGAGTTGGATCACCGTTTCAGTATCAACTGATTGCCCAAAGGTTCTTTTTTGGAGGTGCCCTTTTTTTGGTTCCTTAGGGGGGCTTGAAGCGTTCAAAAAGGGCACCTTGCAAAGGCTTCACTTGCCAAGTCTTCCACGCCTTTTTGAGCAGTCGATGCGTTACTCATTGGTCGCGTCGATGGTATACAGATACATGACTTGCCTACACGGCTGTACTTTTGGCTGAAACATTTTTGAGTGCTTCCACTGGGAACTTTTCTGGCCCAGGCCCTGGCGAATGCAATCTTCTGTTTGCAGATAGAGGAGAGACGCAGAGACCTCTTAAGGCGCGCGTCGATGCAACTGCGAACATAGTTGTTCTGTAGGTATAGCCACCCTTTCAGTATCAACCCCCAACAAACTGCCTGTCCAAGGGTTTTTGTTTTGAGGTGCCCTTTTCATTTCTTGGTTTGTCCGACAGGGCTGCAGGGAGAAGACCTTTCAGTGCTTGCGCTGGGCAAAGTTCCTTTTGTCCGGCTCAGGCCCTGGCGAATCCAAAGCTTCTTTTGCAGAGACTGCAGAGACCTCTTTGAAGGTGCGTGTCGATCAGCCCGTCGACAGCGGGAATGTTCTGCTGCCTTGTCCTCGCGGAGCCCTATAGATTGTTTGCTTTTGAACTTCTCCAACACATCGCCATTGAGTTGACAGAGTCTCAGAAAGGCTTCAGGAAGTTCAGGATCCAGAGTTTATGAAAACACACCGCTTATACTCATCATGTGTATCGGTTGTTTATGCCGGCATGGCTGTCCGACAGGGCCTTGGCTTGCGCTGGTAAAAGTCCTTTTCTTGCTCAGGCCCTGGCGAATTCAACTTTCCTTTTGCAGAGACGCGCAGACCTCTTAAGGCGCGCGTCGATCCAGCGGCGCACATATTTGTTCTGAGTTGGCTTACCGTTTCAGTATCAAGCCCCAACAAAATGAGTGCCCACGGGTTCTTTTTGGAGGTGCCCTTTTTTTGTTTTTTTTGGGGGCTTGAAGCCTTTAAAAAGGGCACCTTGCAAAGGCTTCCCTTACCGAGTCTTCCACACACCTTCTTGAGCAGTCGATGTGCGTTACTCATTCAAACGCGTAGATTGTATACGCATACATGACTTGCCCACACAGCTTTTTTGCGCCAGAACACGTTCCAGCGCTTCCGGCCCAGGCCCTGGCGACTTCACTTTTCCTTTTGCAGAGACGCTGAGACGCAGAGACCTCTTAAGGCGCACGTCGATTCTTCAGAACCGCAGGGCCGCGCCCTTTTAGGTTTTCTTTTGAGGCACCCTATTCTTTTGGAGAGCCGACGCGCGTTATACTCATATGTGTATGGGTTGTTTATGCAGGCATGGCTCTCCGACAGGGCCTTGGTTTGGCTAGAAGACGCTTCAGTGCTTGCGCTGGGCAAAATTCCTTTTCTTGCTCAGGCCCTGGCGAATTCAACTTTCCATTTGCAGAGACGCAGAGACCTCTTAAGGCCCACGTCGATCCGGCGGCGCGTATATTTGTTCTGAGTTGGCTCACCGATTCACTATTCAATATCCAGCCCCGACAAACTGGTTGCCCAAAGGTTCTTTTTGGAGGTGCCCTTTTGTTGGTTGTTTAGGGGGTCTTGAAGCGTTCAAAAAGGGCACCTTTGACAAAGGCTTCCCTTGCCCAGTCTTCCACACACCTTCTTGAGCAGTCGATGTGCGTTACTCATTCAAGCGGGTAGATTGTATACGCATACATGACTTGCCCACACAGCTTTTTGGTGCAAGAAGACGTTCCAGCGCTTGCGCTGGACAAAATTCCCTTTTCCGGCCCAGGCCCTGGCGACTTCCTTTTGCAGAGACGCAGAGACCTCTTAAGGCGCACACATATTTGTTCTGAGTTGGCTCACCGTTTCAGTATCAAGCCCCAACAAACGTTCTTTTTTTGAGGTGCCCCTTTTTTGGTTCCCCGGGGGGGCTTGAAGCGTTAAAGAAGGGCACCTTGCAAAGGCTTTCACTTGCCACACCATTTTGAGCTGTCGACGCGCGTCTCGTCGCGTCGATGGTATACAAATACATGACTTGCCTACACGGCACACGGCTGTACTTTTGGCTGAAAGACGTTTGAGTGCTTGCGCTGGAAGTTTTTCCGGCCCAGTGCGCAGCGGTGTAGTTGTCTGGTGCAGACATTGGTTTTTCTATGCACTCCGACCGTGCGAACGTGCCTTTGGCCTGGCGGGAGAGACAGAGATGTGGGAGGGCAGTTGAAAACCTTGTTGCAGCTTCAACGTGAGACTGTGAGACGAGCTCTGGACTAGCTTTGTTTTGCTGTTCAGTGAGCGCGCCGTGAAGTTGATGTCTAGGTCAGTTTCAGGTCAGCTTGAACAATACTGGGTGTACCATATGAGCTGCTTGAACAACACCGAGTGTATAATCTTGCAGGCGACGCAGGGGCGAGGTGTTCTCGTTAGGCTAGATATTGCAACGCTGGCTGTGGGTGATCAAACACAGGGGCGCGCGCACAAAGAAACAGTTTGAGTTGGGGGCGCGCTCTTTGCACGGCGGAAGGCTTTCTGCATATTTTTTCATTAATGCCAAGCCAGCGCGTCCAATAAGACATGGTTTTGCCACAGGCCAAAAATGCACAAGAAAGTGTTGTAGTACACTTCGCTTTCAATCAAGCTGCAGTTGCCATGGGCGGAAGACACAAAAAGGGGACGAGGAAAGATGAATATCAAAAGCTGAAGCGGCGCCGGGAAGAGCAGCCCGCGCCCCAGGCCAAGAGCAGGTCATTTCTTTGTTACAGCGCAACAAGTTTGGCAAGATTGGAAGCGATTTTTGGGGTGAGTCTCGTCCGTGAGTTGGCGCGAAGGTTGCTATTCTTTCGACAGCACGCGGCTGCGTGGAAGGCCTTAGCGTTGTCCTTCGTACAAGAAAGTGATCAGGCGCCGATTTGAACATGGTGTTGAGGGTTAGCAAGGGAGAGCTTGCGCGCAACTAATTGTTCTGCGTGCAAGTTTTGTCGCTCAAAATTAAATTGACTTCCTCACTTTGCACTCATGCGATGCAGATCTCTCTCTACCAGAGTTTTGACATGTCCAGCTCAACTCGATCTTTTGTCATTATTCATTTTGCTTGCCTTTGCTCTTCAACCTTCTCAGTTTGATCTTTGCGTTTTAATGTTCTTTTTCATGCACTTGTCGCCAGGAGCTTCTGATGGAGCTTGTCGATGAGGATTCTTTGGCCGAGACTCTGAAGACTCTCCGGTATGTTGGTGATCAAGTCTTAGAAAGCAAGAACGGCTACGACGCGCTTCACCAGCGTGTCTTGCTTGCGCACGGGCTAGCCACTGCTGGCTCTGCAGTCTTGTGTGACCAGGGGTGACGCACCACTGCCTTAGGGAAAACCGGCCAGTGGGTGGAAAAGCGCTGTGTTGGCAAGTTTGTCCACACACATATATATATATATGTATGTTTCTGCAGTTCGAGATGTTTTTCTGCATGTTTCTGCAGTTCTCACCAAGTATGTTGTAAGGACTTAAGCCCACGCCCTTTTGTGAGTTCGACTTCAAACGTGCATTATGTGAGGGTCATGATGCAGTCTCTGCATTCCTGTGAGATTTTGTGACTGGTGCCTTCCATGATAATGATGGAGACCGCACAGCGCGAAATGCCCTTTCATGCTTACTACTACAATTGGCCTACGGTTTCCTGTTCTTTCTTTCTTACTGGTGGTCGTATATGCGCCAAAATCCAAAACCGCTCCTATAGCCGCCATACCTTCGCAGCGGCGACAACCAACAATGACCACCAGGAACGACGACAATGGACAAAGAAAAGGAACAATCATTATGCGTCAGGTCGACTCAGGTTTGCAATGTTCATCTCACCATTTGCATTCAGTTCAACAAGGGAACGTTGCAGGGATATTCTGGGTAAGGGAATCACTCCACACCCCAATCCCCTTCCAGTTGAACATGTTGTTCCTTGAGTTCAGGCGCTGCCTCTTGCCTGAACAGGTGTTCTTTGCTCAGGAACCGCATCCTTGCTTGCATCCTGCCCACCCGCCCCAGTTGGGAGCTGTGGTGAAAGGCGCGAAGCCTTGCGAAGCCTTAGGAGTCTATCGCGCCATCCCAATGGATGGCTATTTAGGGGACCAGGGTTGGTGCCAGGTCTGAGGTGCTCCCAGCCTGGCACCAAAAGCCGTGAGCGCTGTTTTGGGAAGAGAGGGTTTGGGATAGAAGTGACGGTCTCTTTGGGCCATGCATATCGAAGAGAAAAGAAGGGTGAGCACGAGAAGCCATCCGAAGGAGCACCCCCCCTCATGAGATACAATCTAGCTGAGATGAAGACGCAACGCAATCAAAAACATTTTACTATTGCTTGGCTGGTGGGGGTTGTGGTTTTCCAGTGATGCCCGGGGTGAGCCTGAGCGCGCCTGTAAGATATGGATTTCACTGCGAAGTAGGGATGCCATCAGCGCATCTGTGGGTTGTGGCCTTGAAGCCTTCAAGTGTGAGCAAGTGGTCGGGCAACAGAGCCACAAACATCAGATGCCAGATGTCCAAACTGGTTTTGCCAAGCACTGGCAGACTTCTCCTTGAAGTTGTCAACTGTTCGGCAAGCCATTTTGCGTTCACTGCATCACGACTTGGCATCCTACGCCTGTTCTTTGCCTAGCTGTTAGGGATCTCACCGTGAAGTCTCCTTGTGGAGCCTTGCCACCCCCTCAGCCGCAATTGTTTTAAATCCTTGTTCTTGGCGTGGCTGTTTGGATCTCACTCCGAAGTCTCGTTGTGGAGCCTTGCCACCCCCCCTCGGCTGTTAGGGATCTCACTCCAAAGTCCCCTTGTGGAGCCTTGCCACCCCCAGGGACGGGTTTCTCCAGGGACGGGCTTAGCCAAGTTTCAACAAACAGCGATGTGAACGATTGGGGTCAGAAGACCCATGCACAACTCCAACCTCCTGAGAGAAAAGGTTCTGCAGTTAGTGCTTGGTTGGGAGATTTGTGTTTTTTTGTACATATTCACACTTGCACCTCAGGTCATCCGCAGATGTTCAATCGCGCTTAGATTAGGCTTACAAGTTGGCGCTTGGCGCGGTGAGACGCCTCTAGCATCATTCAGCATTCAGGTCTAGCATCGTTCAACGCAAAAACCTTCTTTCCATTTGTCCAAACCCCCTTGTCCAGCCTTGTCGTTT